TCCAGTTGTCGCTCCAGTCATACTGGGGTGTGGCGCTGTATCACTGAGACATTCCATCGTTCTGAAGAGATGTTAAACAGAGTTCACAAACTCCCTTCTCTTTACCAATAGTGCTTTGCGCTCCTCAACAGCCACAGCCTTGATCTGACATCTCATCGCACGTAAAGAGTAGTGGGAATGTCTCTCTCTCTCTCTCCCCCACAAAAGGCTGTGGATTACGGCTCAATCCATTCACGTTGTCCAGACTGAGAGGTGTTTATCAGGTCGGGGGGATCGAGGGATATGGGGGCAAAGGCAGGCAATTGGAGTTGAGGTACAGGTCTAACAGAATGGCAGAACAGGCTCGAGGGGCTGAATGGCCTCCTCCTGACAATACAGCACTCCCACAACACTGTACGTATTGGAATGTCAGACTGGACGGCGGCTTAAACAGTCGTGATGTGGGTCTTGAACCCACAACCTTCTGACTCAGGAGGCAAGAGTGCTACTGAGTAAAACTAGACCGGGACAGAATCTCTCCTCCAATACTGTCCTGTATTGATTACCCTACAGAGTCCTGTACTATATTGGTTAGAGCCTCGCAAGTGAGAGGACTCAGGTTCGATTCCCGGGGCAGGTCAGGGCGAAACCTTAGGCAAGTTTCCTTCTATCCCCCCCCCCCCCCCCACACACACACCGCTGGTTACCAGCGCTTCCACAAACACAACAATCGTCATCATTATTATTATTATTATTAATCTGAGTCACATCCCTCAGGGACTGAGATGACAATAAAGATATTGAAGCCTCCTTTGTGGTAAGTGAGATTCCAGCGAGAACGCGGAGCTCGGCAGAGCCCCACGGTGACCACGCCAGTGTTTGTGCGCGTTTACAGCGGTTGTCAAGGTAGTTTTTTGCACATGGGGTGATGTGCCGTCAGCAATCTCTCAGCCCTAACTCATCCCAAACAATGGGTTCCACTCCACACCATCGATAGTATAACGATATCCCGGCGCCTGACCACCTCCGCGAGACGTCTCAAAGCGCTCCACAGGATTATACTGTAAAGTGTAGTGACTGTGTATTTTTGTGGACGAGATGCGGGTGGGACAATAGCTTAAGTGAGTTTCCTTTGCCCCCCCCCCCCCCCCACACACAAACTCACCTGTTCAGCTCACAATAAGTAGGCGCTATATCAAATGCGCTATATCAAAGGTGAGGATTATTATCAAGAATCTCCAGACCCGACTGAGAATTCCCCACATCCCCCCCACATTCCACACCCGGAAACCCCAGAGAGAGATTGTTGGGATGGGATGCGCTCTCTCTCTCCCTGGAGGGACGCCCTCTGCTTACCTAATTCCGGAGAGTATTAGGCGCAGGTTGGCGAGAGCCAAGGCTTGGGGGGGGTATGGGGGGTGAGCCCAGAGTGTGCGTTGGGGTAACTGCTGGAGTCTAACCAACTAATCCAGGGAACGAAAGCCAAGTCTTCTCGCTCGCGAGACAAGATGGCCAAACACTACCCCTACAGGGTTAATCCTGAAAGGGCTGTGGATCTGTGCTGTTGTGTTGAGCCACACAGACAGAGAGGGGGAAACTGGTGACAGAGACACTAAAATGTGAAATGAATTATCCTGTAGATATGATTAAATACTCTTCTGCAATAGTAAATAAGTCACCGATGGCCTTTGGTTCAAAAGTACACAGTCCGGACCAGGTGTGGCTGAATTTGCATTCCCGTCTCCCCCCACCTCCCCCGCCTCCCCCCACCCAATCCCCCCGCCTCCCCCCACCCAATCCCCCCGCCTCCCCCCACCCAATCCCTCCGCCACCCCCACCCAATCCCTCCGCCTCCCCCCACCCAATCCCCCCGTCTCCCCCCACCCAATCCCCCCGCCTCCCCCACCCAATCCCCCCGCCTCCCCCCACCCAATCCCTCCGCCTCCCCCACCCAATCCCTCCGCCTCCCCCACCCAATCCCCACGCCACCCCCACCCAATCCCTCCGCCTCCCCCACCCAATCCCCCCGTCTCCCCCACCCAATCCCCCGCCTCCCCCCACCCATCCCCCCCCCCCCCCCCCCCCGCCTCATCCCCACACTCCTTCCCCATCTTCAGTCCTGCCTCTTCGACCAGTGCCTATAGCCCCCCCCCCCCCCCCGTCACTGTCAGGCGCTCTGGGGCGCTACCCAGTCTGAGGGGCGCTGTGCAAATGCAAGTAGTAGTTGTTGATGATGACGAGGAACGAGAGCTTTCAACATTCCCTCTGTCCTGACCTCACTATCCTTTTACACTGTGAAGTTATTTCCTGTACAGAAGTATTTATTGAGTGGGTGTAACGCAGACACACACACATATATATATATATACATATGATAAGCAGATGGGAGCAATATTCCAGCGGTAATATTCCGCTCAGCTCAGACGTGAGCACACGGTGTCTCACCGCCTTTGATCCCGAGCTGAGTGTGAGCTCCATCTAGCTTCCCCAGCCAGGCTGTGTTTCGCCCACAAAATACACAGTCACTACACTTCACAGTACATTAAACCTGTCCCACTCTGTGTGGAGTCCCGTAACTCAGGGGTTAGAGCCCCCCTCGCCTCGCAAGCGAGAGGATCTGGGTTCAATTCCCGGATAGGGCGAAACCTTAGGAAGTTTCCTTACTCCCCACACACACATACGCACACACACACACACGGACACACACACACGGACACACACACGCACACGCACACACCTCTGTTTACCCAGCAGTAAGCAGTATGTAAATACAAGTTGATTTCATGTCACAGCTGTTTGCTGGATGTCGCTGTGCGCAAACTCACTGCCACGTTGCCCTGAACATCCCACAGTCACTGCACTCTATATCGTAATTATGATTCAATAGAATAGTAATTATACAAATGATTCTATTATAAAAATTCCAATAATAATTAGGATATTAATCCTCATCACCTCGTTGAGATGTCCCAAAGCACTTCACACTGTATTTTGTGGGCGTAATTTATTCCTTCCTCTGCCTGTTTGGTCGAGCTCCCGGGTTCCTGTTCACATCTCCTATTTGCTGCTGATTCACAGTCGCTCGATAATAACCCTTAAATTTGATTATAGCGTCTTATCACATCGTTGAGACGTCTCAAAAGCGTTTCACAGGATGTGCTATGAAGTGTAGTGACCGTGTGTTCTCGTGGGTGGAACGCGGCAGCTGATCGCGCCCGGCGACGTCCCCACAAACAGCCGTGGATTGAAGCGACCAAATTATTATTATTTTTGAAGGAATTATTATCCCCGGAAAAGTGATCCCCCCAATCGACTAACAACCGGGTCCCTACGTGCTGCTGGTTAAACAGAGGCGCGCGCGCGTGTGTCCGTGTGTGCGTGGGGAGTAAGGAAACTTGCCTAAGGTTTCGCCCCGACCTGACCCGCCTGAGGATCGAACCCGGGTCCTCCGGCTTTGTGAGACGAGGGGGGTCTAACCCCTCCCTGCGCTACAGGGAGAGACCCGTATCGGGTCTTCGAGACGTCTCAAAGGGCTTCACAGAATGTCCTGTAAGGTGGAGTGACTGTGTCTTGCGGGCGAAGTGTGTTCCCTTCCCCTCCCTCCTGACCGTTTGACGCGTCTCTCAAGTTTCCGTCTCCCATTTGCCGATGATTCCCGGTGGCTCAGTGTGTGTTGGTTCAGGCGCTGCTGTTATCGGCTCGAGCTCCTTCAGCACTTTCTGCTTCCTGCACTATTTGGCTTCTCGCTCACACGGATGACTTTATAATTACTCCCCGTCCAGTCAGCATCCATTGTAAATCCGTCCATCACCATCCTTCCCTCTCCCTCCCTCCCTCCCTATGTCCCTCGCTAACTCTCTTTCTCCCTCTCCCCCCCCTCTCTCTCTCTCTCTCTCTCTCCCCCCTCACTGCCCACACATTTCAGTCCGTCAGGAAATCAATGCACCACCTCCCAACAAACCAAACCCACCCCTCCTCGCTTCCTGTCTCACTCCTCGGCCACTGAGCCTCCTGCAGGTCAACGCTGTCCAACAACAACAACAACCCTCGCCTTCGATCCAGCACCTTATCGTGTGGTGGAGACGCCTCGACAGGACCCCCCCCCACTGCCTGTCCAGCTTGGACCACCCTATCCCCACCCCCGCCGAGGGCTTTGGCTCGCAGGGTTAACAGGGTTAACAGGAGTCGAGTGGGAGGATTCTTTGGCCCCAGTTACCGGTGCCGCGTTTCGCCCACAAAACACACAGACACAGACGCCTTTGAGGCGTCTTGAAGACGTGACAAGGCCCGGGGTCAACAACCCCTATGGTTGTCTCGGTGAGGCCGGTCAATGTTGGTCTCCTGCTGCCCCTTAGTGGCTCAAGGTGACATTGCTCCCCACTGGAACTCAGCATCTCAACCAAAGGACAGGACAACCCCCCCACCCCCACAGACAGACACACGCACCCCCCCCACACACACACACGCACCCCCCCCACACACACACACGCACCCCCCCAATCCCACTCTGTGGAATCCCACCCTAACCCGAACCCCACCATTGTCGGTCAGTCCTTCAGCCTCTCTCTGGCCCCACCTTCTGGAACTCCAACCCACAGTCCCCCCCGACTCACCCCATCGTCGCCTCCCTCAAGACCCTCCTCTTCGAACAACTACGCTCTCAGTCACCCTCCTATCCCCCACCCTCCCCTCCACCCCCTCCTGAACCCAACCTTCAGCTCGGCTCAAACCCCCCGACTGTCCAGCGCCTGAGGACTTCCTCCCGACGTGAAAGGCTCTGGGTAAATGTCACGTGTTGTTGTTAAGTCACTACACTTTACAGTGTGTCCTGTGAAGCGCTTTGAGACGTCGCGAAGACGTGATCAGGCGCTGTGTCCAACGCGAGGATTATTATTATTATTGTTGTTGTTGTTATTAACAGGCGACGGTGCTCAATGGTCTCTCGCTCACCTTTCGGGCCTCACTGTAGGGAGGATCCGTGAATTGTGCGGCCAACAAAATCTCATCCAGCAACCGACAGATAACCTGAACCATTTTATTGGGAAGCAAAACTTTGCAGGCGGAACATCTGAGTCTCTGATAAAAAGCGAAGGGAGGGGCTGGGCTGCTCACTGAGAAGACGCCATAATACTAGCAACACCTGTGAGAGACGAGAGAGAGAGAGAGAGAAGGGTCCGTTAGTCTGTTACGATAATAATCCCTGCGTTGGACCCGGCGCCTCATCACGTCTTCGAGACGTCTCAAAGCGCTTCACGGGACAGGTTGTGAAGTGTAGTGACTGTGTATTGGTGGGAGAAACACGGCAGCCAACACAGCGCCTTATCCCGTCTACCAGACGTCTCCTGTGGAACGGGTGACACTTACTCTCGAAGTCGATCTTCTCCACAATGTTCTTAGGTTTGATACTCTCCTCCTGGTTGCAGATGAAGATCCTGTTCGGCTCCTCCTCGGACCATCCGTACTTACTCATCCACACGTTCAGCTGTGAGTCTGTTAGGGCGCGACGGGAAGTTATTATTATTATTATTATTTTCACACAGCGAGTTGTTGGGATCTGGAATGCGTTGCCTGAAAGGCCGGTGGGAACCGATTCAATAGCAACTTTTGAGAGTAGAAGATAATTATTTGGGGAGGACAAGTTTGCAGAGCTATGGGGAGAGTGCGGGGGAGTGGGGTTGATCAGGGCTATGGGGAGAGAGCAGGGGAGTGGGGTTGATCAGGGCTATGGGGAGAGTGCGGGGAAGTGGGGTTGATCAGGGCTATGGGGAGAGTGCGGGGGAGTGGGGTTGATCAGGGCTATGGGGAGAGAGAGAGAGAGATATAGAGACACACACACGCACACACTTACATACTCTCCCCCCCCCACCCCAGCAATCAGTAGAGACTCTTTATTACCTGATAAATCTCCCAGCATTTCCGCTAATAACCACTTCTCAATCGACTGGTACGTGATCCCAACTACGTGACAGATAACTGGACGAGAGAGAGAGGGGGAGAGAGGGGGGGAGGGAGAGATAGAGAGAGGGAGTTCAACACAAGAGAATAAGATTCCTCAGAACGCAACGATGACGACATCTTGCATTTACACAGCGCGCCTTCACTCGCGCAGGATAGCGTCCCAGAGCGCTCGACAGTGCCAGAGCCTCAGGAGAGAGAGCGAGAGGGTGGGGGCGAGATGGAAGGATCGACGGAGAGAGTGTGACAGAGTTTCGGAGCGCGGTGGATGAAAGTGCGGCCTCCGATGGTGTGTGTGTGCGCGTGTGTGTGGGGTGGGGGGAGAGAGGGGGGGGGATAAGGGGCAAAGAATATTAATGGTGTTGGACATTCTGTACGTACATTTCCGGACTGAATCTTCGAAGCCCGCGATCCCGTCGATCAGCTCAGCGTTATCCTCCAGATTTCGCTGAGGAGAAAATCAGACGGGAATTAAACAGGAATTGGGAAACGCAAGACACGCGGCCAAGGGTAGAGGGGAGTAGCTCAGGGGTTAGACCCCTCGCCTCGCAAACCACAGGACCTGGGTCAGGTCAGAGAAACCTTAGGCCAAACCCCCCCCACCCACACACACACGCGCCTGTGTTCCCGGCAGTCGGTAGGAACTCGCTTGTCAGTCGATTGGGGGATCACTTTTTGGGGGTAATAATCCCTCAAAAAAAAAACTCAACCCAACCCACGGCTGTTTGTGGGGACGTCGCTGGGCGGCGCAATTGTCTGCCACGTTTCGCCCACAAAACACACGGTCACTACACTTTACAGCGTGTCCTGTGAAGCGCTTTGAGGCGTCTCGAAGACGTGATCAGGCGCCGGGTCAAATGCGAGGATTAATATTATTATTGTTATCAACTTACCCAGAACTCCTGGAAGTGGCAGGTCTCGAGCAGGTCCCCCAGCGTCAGGATCTGTTGTATTGGTCGTTCCTCCTGCTGTGGTCATTCAGTTAAAGCAACGACTGAGGGCACTGAAGGCTTCACCCTCAAAGATAGTTTCTCCCCCATTCGTGAAAAACACCACCACCTGACATTTACACGGTGTCTCTCATGTCGGGAGGACGTCCCAAGGCGCTGGACGGTGAGGGGCTTGAGACCCGAGCTGGGGGTTGGGATCAGGAGAGGGTGGAGGGCAGGTGGGGAGTAGGAGGGTGACTGAAGGTACGGTTGGTCGAAGAGGAGGTTCTTGAAGGAGGTGAGGGAGGGAGGGGGTGAGGGGAATGGAGATCCAAAGGGTCGGGGGCAGAGAGGCTGAAGGTCTGGTCGTCTTCAAATCCCTTCCCACCCACCCTGGCACCTCCCGACCTCTCTCCTGCTCACTCCCCAACCCACTACCCGCTGCCTCCACTCAACTGGCTCCGGCCTCCTGCTTGTCCCTCGTGCCCTCCGCTCCACCATCGGTGGCCGTGCCTTCAGCCACTACCCCCCCCCCAAAAACTCTCTCCCTCAATCCCCCCCCCCACCCGCCTCGCCCCCGCACTCCTTCCCCATCTTCAGGTTGTGCCTAAACACCTTCCTCTTTGACCATGTCTGACGGGGGGGGTAATAATCCCCTCAAAAATAAAATTAATAATAATTCGGTCACTTCAACCCACGGCTGTTTGTGGGGACGTCGCTGGGCGCGATCGGCTGCCGCGTTTGGCCCCCAAAACACACAGTCACTACACTTTACAGTATATCCCGTGAAGCGCCAGGATTGTTATTATTTGTTACTGGAAACCCGCTGTCTCTTGGGAAGGATACGTGGGTCTGCTCGATCATACATTTACACAACGTGAAGTCTGTGTGCGGGAGGTTGGTCAAGGCTTTCAGTAGGATCTGAGCCGTCACTGAGGTCTGGAAGAAGGCGGGATTGAACTGATACCTGCGAGGAATAGCATAGGAATACCCGTGGTCAGTGCAGGGCCAACAGAGACCATTAAACTGAAAGAGCTGCCAGAGTCGCGCTGGAAAAGAGAAGACCGAGAGGCGACACGATTGCTGTCTGTGAGATTCTGAAGAGGCAAAACAACACATATCATGACCCGGATAGTGAAACCAGAGGACACGCGGCCTGTGATGCGACCGAAGGGGGTGAATTCAGAACAAATCTACGCAAACACTGTTACAGTGAGCGAACAGTCAACCTGTGGAGCCTTCAAACGCAGAGTAGATAGTTAGGGGATGTCCCAAGTTTGCTGGACACAGACACACTCTCTCTCTCTCTCTCCCTCTCGTACACTCGTTCTCTCTCTCTCTCTCTCACTTTCACCCGAGCTGGGGGGGTGGGATCAGAAGGGTGTGGGCGGGTGGGTGACTGAAGGCGTGCTTGGTCGAAGAGGAGGGTCTTGAGACGGGTCTTGAAGGCGGTGAGGGAGGGGGTCGAGGTGAAGGGACTGCGGGGTGGAGTTCCAGAGGGTGGGGGGCAGAGTGGCCGATAGTGGGGCGAGCGAGGCAGGGGACGTGAAGCAGGCCGGAGCCCGCTGAGCGGAGGGAGCGAGAGGGAGAGAGAGAGAGTGGGAGAGAGAGGGAGAGAGAGTGTGTGTGAGAGAGAGAGTGTGTGTGAGAGAATGAGAGGGAAGAGAGAGAGTGTGAGACAGGGAGAGAGAGAGAGAGTGGGAGAGAGAGAGAGAGTGTGTGTGAGAGAGTGAGAGGGAGAGAGAGAGAGTGTGAGAGAGAGGAGAGAGAGAGAGAGAGTGTGTGAGGGTGGCGGGGGGGGGGTCAGGAGGTCGGTGGGGGGTGACCAGATGAGAGTTGCTGCTCACAGCTTCAGGACAGCGAGGTTGGCCTCCAGGTCGTACGCGTTCTCT